ATGCCTATTTATATTGTAAATATTGATGGGAGAAACACAGCGTAAACTTTATCAAATCATTTGATAGAGATATTTCTCAAGAAGATATGCTAATATTATTGTAACTAGTACATGGCTCGTGGGATGTGCATTAAAATGAGTGATAATAAATAACATGATTTAAAAGACAAAAAAATTATATTTTTATTTAGAGAAAATATTTTTAAGTTTAATTCATTTCTAAGTTTTTTTTTGAAATATCATGCTATTTTTATTATACGTATGATAAAATTTATATTTTTTATATTTATGCACGGGATTAGATATATATTAAGAATATAATAATTATAATTTATGAATATAAATAATATAGTAATTATAATTATTTTAACAATCACTGGCCAAAACAAAGGCAAATACTTGAGTCACACATACGTAGAGAGGACAATATGAGATGAAATAGTGGAGAAATATTCATCGCCTACCCAATAAGACAGTAACATCAATGAAACTACAATTCTCAAAGATTTGAAATTAAACAAAAAATCATATAAAGCCTTCTTGAAACACACTCAACTTCAACACTTTTAACAACGTAACCAACACATGTAAAGGCAACCTTATATTAATGGCATCACATTTTATGTAGCACAACAAAGAGAAATTATAATTATAATTGCATAAATGTTATCTAGTTTTGAGAATATACCAAAACACTTTACACTAAAGCTCAATGGAAGAACTACAAGAGTAGTCCATTGGTGCATTGAAATTTGAAAATCATGTTAAATATCCTTGTTAGAAGCATTCAATTATATAACATAAAATTTCAAAAATCATAACGCTTCTTGAAAGGAATAACGTTAATGAAGGTGAACAACATAAGGAGGAGATTGAGAAGCGTCTATGTCAAGATTAAACGCTATAGTATACCATAATCTTTATGACATATATAAGACAATAATTTTATAGAAATTCTATAAGGTAATGCATGTCTCAAAGCAAAGAGGCAAAGTATAGAGAACAAAAGCAATGTTTCAGAGCCCCAATACAGCCTTGTTACATTAGATCAATCAATGTTGACATGCTTTTGTGCTTTCGATTTATGTATAGTTAGATCGAATGCCTTGGAAAAATGACAAGAAATTCAAAGGCATGGGATTTAGGGAGGTCTTGAGTGGAGAAATACATGCAAACATTGCCAGAAGATGTTAATGTGGATAAGGCAAGTTATGATATGTGAAGGTTTTTAAGGTTAAAATCTAAAATAAAAGGAGAAGAAGTCATGATACCAGGAGAGATCATGGGAGAGAAGATAAAATAATCTATGAAGGTTTTGAAGATTTTTGAAATTAAAATTTAAAATTTAAAATAAAAGGACAGGAAGTTATGATAATGAGAAATATGTAAGAGAGAAAATTAAAGATAAAATAATATGGTTTAAGTTAGTTTTAGAGATCCAGGTAAAAAAAAAGGGTTAGTTTTTGAGATATTGTAATTATTATTTTGATAAAATATTTTTAAGAATAAATGCTGGCTAAAATTGCAGAATTTTATAATTTTTAAATTAAAAATTTGAAATTATGAATAAGTTATTAAATTAAAAAAATTAAGTATGAAGGACACTTGGCATCACATGTTCTCTTTCTATCTCTCATGTTGTGCTTGCAAGAGAGAAAAATATAGGGAAGGGAAAAATAAAAAGAAAATGATATTTTCACCTGCTTGGTTAAAGAGAGAAAAATGAGAGGAGAAGAAATGGGGGAAAAAAAATAACATATGAGACTTATGTTTTTACTTTCAACTATTCTCTTTCAATTTAATATGGGAAGATTTTGAAGAGAAAACTTAATATTCAAATTTGTCTACGAATATTTTCTTTTCCTATTCTTTTTTTTCTTTCTAATTTTCCCTCCACTTTAGAATTTAAATTATTACATATTTAATAATTTGAGAATTAAAGAAATAAAAAATAAAATTGGACAAAATAATTGTTTTTGCTAGCATCGGATTTACAATTATATTTTATTTAATCAATATATAATAAAAATTATATAAATAATATGTTAAGTATTAATTTTTATAAACTTAAAATATTAAATTTAATTATATATAAATTTTTCAAATAATATATAAAGTTATTATTGTTGATATGAAATTAATAATTTTTTTATTTTCTCTTACCCAACCAAATATAGTGAGAAAAAATTATATCTCCAATTTTCTCGCAGGATAAGAAAATCGCTATCAAGTCTAATGTCACTTTTTCATATTTTTATTCATCTCTAACTAAGCTTCTACTTATTCTATAGACATTCTAGGACGTAAATTTTTTTTCCTTTCTCGTGAATTAATGTGATATCTCCCAATCCATTTTCTTTTAATTTTTTTTATAGAAAGTAAATTCTATTTTATGGCTCTATGTTTTTATTCTATATTCGTTCCGATAGAGCAGTAACTTTTTTTTTTTTTTTTGACCAACATAATATCTTGAATGAATGATGAACAACCAGAGTCATCAAGCAAAAAACAAACAGAACAGCTAACGAAAAAAGTCACAAGCCCACAAGACAGAGACATAAAAACAAGCAAGTGCTCAACAAAACGAAACAATTCATTCAGCCTATGCCTTCTCTATCTTTGTTAATCACTTGATGATGTTCAGGACCCTGAGAGTAGCTTGAATCCTTCGATAAAATAGCAGAAAGAGGGAGTGAAGTGCTACACAACTAGCCTTTAGGGCCCACACTTTTGAGAGCAGTGGCTGCCATCCAATTAGCAGCAAAGTTTCCATCTCGCTTAAAAAACGAGAAAGAAATATAACACAGTCAAGGCTAGCGAGAAATTCTCCCAGGATTCCATGGTATAAACCAAGGGCAATGTGACAGATCCCTACTACATGAAATAGCACGATAGAGTTCAAGAAAGTCCATTTTTATTACAATAGAATTACAGCTGAATTCGGACACAATGTGAGTGGCTTTTTGGAATGCTAAAAGCTCAGACATGAAGCTTGAATCCGCCTCTACTTGATCTTGCCACCCTTTAATGAACTGACCTGAACTATTTCGAACTTGAACTCCAATGGCAGCTTTCTTTATGGCGCTCACAAATGCCGCATCACAAGTAATCTTGATGGATCCAGTAGCAGGAGGTATCCAGTGATTCTGGAAAGATTCATATGCAGCAGGCGACCGAGGAGAGCTATTACAGTTAATTCGCCAATATTCATTAACCGCTGCACTAGCTAGTAGAACTAATAACATGTAAAGGGTTCAAAGCTGCAGCAGAGAAGATCGATGCAGAACTAGTCTTCCAAATATTCCAGCATAGACATGCTAAATAAGCCTTATCATTGTCCTTAAGCAGGCAATCATCAACCAAAAAAGAACAGCACCAGGTCTCAAAAGAAGAAATATGCAATGGGTTCAAAGGAGAAGTTAAATGAGAGCCAAGCCATATCTTGCGAGTCCATTCACAGAGCAATAGCAAATGTTCAATTGTTTCTGGGTGATCCTTACATATGGGACGTAGTGGATCAGCAGCGCATTTGCAAGAGAAAAGATCCTCTTTTGTCGCTAGTGAATGAGTCAGCGCCCTCCAAAGGAAGTGACGGATTTTTGGATGGAACTTCAAAGCCCATACTTGCTTCCATAATGCATTTGGAGAGGTTGAGGAGGTTCCAGGGGCAGTGGCAATCACTGGATGTTGACGTATATTCAAGTCTACAGCCAAGTTTTGAAGAGTATTTCGCGTTCTTGGTGCCTATCCATAGCACAACATCATCAAAAGAGCAAACAGGAATATGAATTTTCATGATACAGTCCATAGCTTCCTTAGAGGCCAAATTATGGATTGGAGATAAGCTCCAAGCCCCGTTGAACATAATTTCAGTAACTTTCATCTTCTAATTATCAACAGTGTCGTTCCTGTGTTTTGGATGACTTTAAAGCTGGGCATACCGGAATCCACTGATAACTCCAAACCCCTATATCTCGCCCAGTTCCCTCTCTGTAACAGATATTTTTGAGCAGTAAATCTCTTCCTGCCAGAATGCTACTCTAGGCCCATAAAGCTTTGGGACCTTGGCTTGCATTTAGAAAAGGACATGAGGGTTATTTAGCACAGCTTTGAGAACTTGAACCCGTTGTTGATGAGGGTTAGTTAGCACCCTCCAGGAAGTTTGTGCTAATAAGGTTTCATTAAATTATTCATCAAGTCACGGAATCCAAGCCCCCCTTGATTTTTAGGGGCACAAAATTTGTCCCAAGCCTTCCAATGAATATTGTTCCTAAAGTCAGATTGACCCCAAAAGAAGTTAGCTATAAGGCTATCAAATTCAGTACAAGTTTTTTTTTTTTTTGGAAATTTAAAACAAGTAATGGGAAATATGGGCATGGCATTTATAGTTGACTTGATCATAATTTCTTGAGCAACAAAGTGAGGAATTTGTTCTTCCAGTTATGAATTTTCTTTCCCATTTTGTCTCTAACATAAGCCAGAGCTGCCAATTTTGAGCGACCCCACAAAAGTGGAAGTCCAAGGTAGGAGCTTGGGTTTTCTACATTATTAACATGCAAAGAAGAAAAAAACCTCTTCTTGAATAGCTTGTGAAGTATTGGTAGAGAAAAAAAGAGACGACTTGTCATAATTAGTTCGCTGACCTAAGGCATTATAGTAGGATTGAAGGAACTCTGTAATTGTGCTGCAATTTTTCGTGTCAGCATGCAGAAACAGCATTGTTCCTCTGCAAACAGGTAATGCGTCAATATGGGGCATTCCTCACGAATTTGGATGCCTATGATATCACCATTTTCAGCATGAAAACTAAGCATCTAGGAAAGAATCTCACTTGCCATTATGAAAAGATAGGGAGCGCAACAGATTTGTCGGAAATCTAAATAATAAAAAACAGGACACATTGCGCATTCATAATCCAATTAACCCAAGTATCGCAAAAAAACCCATTTTTAATAGGACAGCTTTAATGAAATCCCATCCAAGATGGTCAAAAGTTTCATTCATATCCATTTGAAAGCAAAATAACATTCAGCACCAGTTCGCATCAGTTTCAGAAAATGAAAAACTTCTCCCACCTTGATTATGTTATCATGAATGAGCCGACCAGGAACAAAAGCACGCTGATTGGGAGAGACACAATCATTCAGTTCTCCTTTAAATCGATTGGCCAGAATCTTGGAGAGGACTTTAAAAGCAAAATTGCAAAGACTAATAGGCATGAATTGGCTAACCATCTCTAGACATTCAATTTTTGGAATAAGAACTAGATTAGCAGCATTCAAAGTACCCGGATCCTCATCCTCAAATAAAATATTGTTAAACAAAGAGTCATTGACCTCTTCCAAGAAGATTGGTAGAAGTGCCCATCAAATCCATCAGGCGATGCTTTTGTCGCCCCTAGTTGAAAGGTAGCCTACTTGAGCTCTTCTTTGGTATGAAGAACCAATAGCTTCAGTGATGCCATATCTGTCATTTTTGACTTTTGGTAAATAAATTCTGGTATAAATCAGAAACTAAATCAACAATTTCCTGTTCTTTTTCAAACCACTATACAGCATTGTTTCTCAGTTTCACTATCTGGTTTCTTTGCCTTCTAACTTTCGTGGGATTGTGGAAAAATCTAGTGTTAATATCCCCAACTGAGACCCAATTTACACGAGAACGCTGCCACCAATAAATCTCCTCTTGTTTCCATAGTTGTTCAAGTTCCCTTCTGAGATGTTGAACCTCGGCTCTGCTATCATTAGTATATACCCAATCTTTTAAGTTTTCAATCAATCTAAGAACCTGTTCAATCGCTTTCTTGTTATTGGGGAAAGCTTTTTGGGTCCAAGAAATTAATTCACGACTAGAGCGCTTGGTACAGGTAACAAATTGAGGCACTAGCCAGGAAGAGGGGTCCTCGATGAACCAAGATTTCTTGACAATTTCTTTGAACTCCGGATGAGAAGCCCAGTTAATCTCATAATTACATGAACAAGGAGCTAAGTCTTTTTATCTTGAAAGGATAAGGATAGGCATACCAGGAGGAAGTGATGTCAGACGCTACGGAATCAATGTGAATGGCCAGTGACTTGGGAAAGAATCCCCTGAAGGCAGAATTGGCCATAGCTGTTAGAGCAATAACCTTTGATAGATATAATAGTTTGCTGATTTTTTCCCCTATTTATCTGTTCTGTTTAATCAACTCAACTAGTATGTTCTAGCATTTTTCGCTCAAGAATTTTATAAAACGAAAACGTGTTATTTTTCTTAACAACATTTTTTTTTATCAGGACACGGGGCAATAGGCCAATAGCCCAAACAGAAACAATTTTTTTTTCTTAACAACATTAATTTAGAATGGATGTAGGTTTCAAGAAATTTACATCCCCAATTCCTTGTGCTGATTTGTTCTCTTGCGTGTGTATTTTAAACTGTTCTGAGCCAGAAAATATTTAAAAAAAAACTATGAAGATATACAAAAATCGAGAAGATGTATTCTATATTGGCAACCCAATCACGATGGGATCTTCGTAATGCTGGGAATCAAAACAGAACTAATCGATCCAAATATGTTACCACAAATATAGATTTAAACAATTAAATAATGGTCACTATAAAGAAAATCTTCATCAAATAGTTATGATATAGGTGCGGGCGATCAAATCAAACGTTATTTATCCATATATACGAGTTTATTGCAAGGAGATAACAATATATCATCTAATTGATCTAAGATTTTGGATATTGCCTAAAGATATTGAAATAAATTTATGATTGAGGCACATCCCATTTCAATTATTCTAGTCTTTCATTTATTTAAAATTATTATTATCTTTATATTTTATTTAAGTCCCTACACTTTATTTTATTTTGTTATTGATTCATGCATTTTTTAATGTTTTAGGTCTTAACATTTTTATTTTTCATTTATGCCCCTCTATGAATAAAGCGTAGAGACTAAATCATTGAAAAGAAGTGTAGTGACTAATAGCAAAAATTCAAAAAAGTATAAAGAATTAAAAATTATATTTTTCCTTTAAGATTTATATAATTTTCAACTCTTTAATTATATGGTTAAGGTTCATGCCTATATTTAATTATTGAAAAAAACTGCTGTTGATTTTCCATCCTTTGAATTTCTCTCTTCCCTATCTAATTTTTCCTCTCTATTTCTACTCTAATCTCTTTCCCCATTCGACATCACTTTCTCTTCGTTTTTTTCCTGTCTAACCGAGTTCTACATTTTCTATAACATTCTAGGAGGTACAATTTTTTGTTTCTCGTGAATGGTGTTACATGTATGCCTGAGTTCTTTGTTCTTGCTTTCCCTCTCTGATTTTCATTTTGGCCAATTTGTAATGTCTGCTGCTCCTTCTAATATCTAAAGTTTCCGCCATGGTAAAAAAATTTCTTCTATCTCTAAAAGAAGGCTGAGATTGTAAGCATTGTTCCTGGGTATATACGTTATATTTATGATACTTTGTTTGATGTGATTGCTAGGTAAACACAACAAGTTTTGGGGATATGGAGGATGCAACCAAAGGCATGATAAAAAAATCCCAGAAGCAATACTAAGTTTGAAGATCATCCTCAACATCTCATCCACCACATGATGATGCAAATTTCTCCTCTACAAGGACGCAACGGAAGTTGAGTGTTTTATCCAAAGCCTTTCATTCTTTGTGGCTTTCCTTTCCTGTACTTCACTTTGACTACAAATTCTTTGAAAACACGAAGACCCACATGACAGCTTCAAGTCTTTCATCCTCAAAACCCTCCACCTTCGTCGTCCTCAAGGGCCATTGCGAAGGCTAAGCGTAATTTACCCTAAAGGGAATTCAACCTTCAATATGGTATTTGATGTGCGTTGCTGCACTTGGCAATAGAGAACAATACTAAAGAGATAGTCTTTTATATAAGTACCAATCACAGCATCAATGTGAGATACGACTCCCTTCTTCGTCTAATTTCTTCACAATGCTTGACTGTGCTCAACCTTGAAGGATTTATTAAATTTCCAATTGCTGATCTGATCATACTGTGCCCAAGATTGAAAGAGCAAGAAATCACGAGAAGCGAAGGACTGCAAAACTGTAACAGTTTCATCTTTGTCTGGAGAAGGCATGCATCTGTCATTCTTTAGAGTTAAAAGAAGTTCATTTGAAGGCAAAGAATCTACGGTATTGCTCGTTTGTTGACCTTCCCCACCCTTGTGAAATCAACTTATTTGCTTGTGAATCCATAAAAGATATGTATGTATGTGGTGTAAAGGTCACAAAGAACCTGATAGAATTAGTCACTGGGAGGCTTGAACATCAGTGAGTGTGACTTTCCTGAGAACCTGAGTATTCATAACCCTAGAATTAAAAGTGTTGCAGATGATGAGAAATAATGTTAAAAAAATGGAGCTCTTGACTCCCAATCTAGAAATTTTCGCTCCTATATGTCTTTCGAAGGACAGAGACGGGCATTATACAATATCTCAGCATGTGTGGCGCTCAAGGTTTTGGACTTGGACTGGATGGAGTAACTAATGAGTGGGTGAGGAGTACAACATCAGAGTTAGGTTGTCTGAAAGAACTGACGTTAAGTCATTGTAATGCGTTAGAGAGATGGAGCTGAAAAATGACAAGCTTGAGAAGTTGTCATTGAGTGCATGTTCCAATTTGAATGAGGCCATTGTTGATGCGCCAAACTTAGTCAATTTTTGCTACGAAGAATGCCCAATAATCATGCTGCCTGTTTATCCGATCGTGAAAATTTTATCAACCAAATGTATTTCTGCCGAAATCAAGTTACCAACTCGCTACAATCTTATAGATACTCACTCATGGTTTGGTAACATTATCGAGTTTCTCTCTGCTTTGATCACATCACAGACCTCACTATTACTTGCTTCTACGCAAAGGTACTAATCATTTCTCTTTTCTTCAAAATCTATTGCAGAAATGTGGTTTTTTTTTTTAAGTCTTTGATCTCGAGAATGCACGACGTATTTTTTGGTGATTCTTGATATCATTTGCATTTTTAAAATTCATATGTGTGTGTATATGAAATAATTAAAATATGTGCATTTAGAAAACAAAAAATAATCTCCTCCAACTGGCTGTTTTTATTAAAAAAAAGTTAGTATTTGAAATCTTAAGTTGCTTTGCTTTTGTTTGATTAATTTAGGATTTGACCCTTCCAAGAGAGTTTATGAAAAATAATACATCTCCATTGCGTGATCTGAAGCATATTAGAGCACAAACTACATATTCTATAGGAAATCAGGGTACTGTAATGAAATTACTGAAAAGTTACTTTGGTTGGCGCATAAACCTTGGACACTTGCAATCTCCAAATACTGTTCCCGACCTAGCACCGTGATGGTATGTTTTTATTAAACTTTTGTTTACTTATCTTTATCAGTCTCATCCAATGAGTGTTCCAGGTGATATTATAAGAAAATACCAAATCATAATTCTGTATTTTTTGTGTCCTTTACTTCAATCCAACCATTATATGACTGCTGTGAAATAAAAAGATTGAAATTTATCATCATAAATTACCCTTAGCCAATGTTGTCAAAGGTGCTTGCCTCAGCACCTAAGGCGCAAGGCAAAGCGTGAACATGGCCATCATCTGAGTTTCAGTTAGCTGGAATTGACCCAAATCAAGTTATCACCTTTGATTTGGATTGGATCATCAACTTTAACTAAGATTGGACTATTGACATCGTTTGAGTTGCTTTTAATATTTCAATTTGAAATTTTTTATGTCATCTAAACAAAGTATTTAGAATTTATAAATTTCAAATGTGAAATTTTAAATTTAAATTATCAATCCAAATTCACCCATCCAAATGCAATCTAAGATTATAGTGTGGTCACTTATTGAATTTGGCATACTCATGGAACCCATATGAGAAAACTACCACACGCCTTCGCCCATGATACAATCACGTACTTTAATTGAGAAAGTCTTACGAACAGAAACGGTGGGAAGACCAATGATCACACAGCTTCATTTGAGATTTGAGAAAACTGGTTTTTGATCATGTTTATTGGGAGGCTCATGAATGTGCTAGTACTTGGATTGCATGCAAGATATATATGTAGATGCAATTTCATATGTCAACTCATCCTCCTTTAGGAAATATTAGATTAGATAAAAAGCATTAATTGGCATTGATTTGAATAATGTGGCAGTTTGAATATGATAAGAATGTGAAGAGGAGAAAGATTGAAGAGACATGCTGTTCTGGGATTCCCACTAAGTGCTGGCGGCACTATAAACTCAAAGTGCACATTCAAGGCTTTGAATCTGTGAGAGAAGTGACTTGGAAGAGTTCTTTGCTCCTTACATGCGCTGATTTTGATTTCTTTTATGTTTAAAATGTTAGCTTTCTTTGATGACCATAATATTTCCAATGTCACGAGCACAAATTTAGAGAGAGAGAGAGTTTTTTTTTTTTTAAAAAAAAATAGCTTGTTTAATTGAACTTATAAGACCCTATTTCACTTGTGAGATTTTGAAGACTCATAACATATTAGTCTTTTGGAATTGCTTTATAACTTCTTGTTATTTGTATGGAAGCCATATGTAATCACACACACACACACACACACACACACACATATATTAATTACAACTTAAATTACTATGATAAGTTGTATTATTCACGTAGTTGTAGCATGCAAATTAAAGCATGTGGTTCATCTATTCAACACGTTTTATGGACTAAATCATGTTTAAAATTTGGGGAGGAAACTTTACTTTTCCTCCATATTATATTTTCTTTTGGTTAATTAGAATTATACAAGTACATCAAACTATGACAGGACGCGTAATTGAGCACCTTTTCTTAAGCAGTTCTTGTCATGCAACTGAAAAACTAGTTCTTTTATAAGGTGATCAGAGTAAGATAACTTTGATGAAACAACAATCATCTTGCTATTGCAGGTAAGTTTTTCTTATACCATCGGGGAGGAATTTCTATTTCGTTATTGGTCTTGCCACCACGATGTCCACAAGACTTTAGTTTTTTTTTTTTTTTTGAAAAAAGTGTATGTAGATATGCCTACTTATAAACAATTATTTAAAAAAAATCATATGTAATTTTTTTATTTCATTTTTTTATAA